GATAGATAGAGAGGGAGAGGGACAGAGAGAGGAGAGAGGAACAGGTACAGGGAGATAGATAGGGGATAGAGAGAGGGGGGCTCATGTTTTTTTTGTCCGTGCGATTTTGTCCGTTTTCAGAAAATAGGGTACCAAAACGGTTAGATCGTACGGTTAGATCCAACGGTTAGATCCAACGGTTAGATCCAACAGTTAGATCCAACGGTTGGATCGAACGGTTGGATCAGACGGTTAGAAAGAACGGTTGGATCGAACGGTTGGATCGAGAGAGAGGCAGAGAGAGAGATAGAGAGAGAGAGAGAGAGAGAGAGAGAGAGAGAGAGAGAGAGAGAGAGAGAGAGGAGAGAGAGAGAGAGAGAGAGAGAGAGAGAGAGAGAGAAGAGAGAGAGAGAGAGAGAGAGAGAGAGAGGGAGATAGAGAGAGGAGAGAGGAACAGGTACAGGGAGATAGATAGGGGATAGAGAGAGGGGGGCTCATGTTTTTTTTTGTCCGTGTGGTTTTGTCCGTTTTCAGACAATAGGGTACCAATACGGTTAGATCGTACGGTTAGATCCAACGGTTAGATCAACATTTAGAAAGAACGGTTAGATTCCAACGTTTATATCCAACGGTTAGATCCAACGGTTAGATGTTAGATCCAACGGTTAGATCCAACGGTTGGATCGAACGGTTGGATCGAACGGTTAGAAATAACTGTTAGAAAGAACGGTTGGATCGAACGGTTGGATCGAGAGAGAGGCAGAGAGAGGGGACAGGGAGAGACATGAATGGAAAGAAATTGACAGAGAGGGACAGAGAGGGGGGAGCTCGTGAGAGAGGGAGATAGATAGAGAGGGAGAGGGACAGAGAGAGGAGAGAGGAACAGGTACAGGGAGATAGATAGGGGATAGAGAGAGGGGGGCTCATGTTTTTTTTGTCCGTGCGATTTTGTCCGTTTTCAGAAAATAGGGTACCAAACGGTTAGATCGTACGGTTAAATCCAACGGTTAGATCCAACGATTAGAAAAAACGGTTAGATCCAACGGTTAGATCCAACGGTTAGATCCAACGGTTGGATCGAACGGTTGGATCAGACGGTTAGAAAGAACGGTTGGATCGAACGGTTGGATCGAGAGAGAGGCAGAGAGAGAGAGAGAGAGAGAGAGAGAGAGAGAGAGAGAGAGAGAGAGAGAGAGAGAGAGAGAGAGAGAGAGAGAGAGAGAGAGAGAGAGAGAGAGAGAGAGAGAGAGAGAGGAATAGAGAAAGAGAGAAAGAGAGAGATAGGAAGATAGAGAGAGAGGGAGATAGAGAGAGAGAGAGGAACAGTTAAGGGAGATAGAAAGGGGATAGAGAGAGGGGGGCTCATGTTTTTTTTGTCCGTGCGATTTTGTCCGATTTCAGAAAATAGGGTACCAAACGGTTAGATCGTACGGTTAAATCCAACGGTTAGATCCAACGGTTAGAAAGAACGGTTAGATCCAACGGTTAGATCCAACGGTTAGATCCAACGGTTAGATCCAACGGTTAGATCCAACGGTTGGATCGAACGGTTGGATCAGACGGTTAGAAAGAACGGTTGGATCGAACGGTTGGATCGAGAGAGAGGCAGAGAGAGAGAGAGAGAGAGAGAGAGAGAGAGAGAGAGAGAGAGAGAGAGAGAGAGAGAGAGAGAGAGAGAGAGAGAGAGAGAGAGAGGAATAGAGAAAGAGAGAAAGAGAGAGATAGGAAGATAGAGAGAGAGGGAGATAGAGAGAGAGAGAGGAACAGGTAAGGGAGATAGAAAGGGGATAGAGAGAGGGGGGCTCATGTTTTTTTTGTCCGTGCGATTTTGTCCGTTTTCAGACAATAGGGTACCAATACGGTTAGATCGTACGGTTAGATCCAACGGTTAGATCCAACATTTAGAAAGAACGGTTAGATCCAACGTTTATATCCAACGGTTAGATCCAACGGTTAGATGTTAGATCCAACGGTTAGATCCAACGGTTGGATCGAACGGTTGGATCGAACGGTTAGAAATAACTGTTAGAAAGAACGGTTGGATCGAACGGTTGGATCGAGAGAGAGGCAGAGAGAGGGGACAGGGAGAGACATGAATGGAAAGAAATTGACAGAGAGGGACAGAGAGGGGGGAGCTCGTGAGAGAGGGAGATAGATAGAGAGGGAGAGGGACAGAGAGAGGAGAGAGGAACAGGTACAGGGAGATAGATAGGGGATAGAGAGAGGGGGGCTCATGTTTTTTTTGTCCGTGCGATTTTGTCCGTTTTCAGAAAATAGGGTACCAAACGGTTAGATCGTACGGTTAAATCCAACGGTTAGATCCAACGGTTAGAAAGAACGGTTAGATCCAACGGTTAGATCCAACGGTTAGATCCAACGGTTGGATCGAACGGTTGGATCAGACGGTTAGAAAGAACGGTTGGATCGAACGGTTGGATCGAGAGAGAGGCAGAGAGAGAGAGAGAGAGAGAGAGAGAGAGAGAGAGAGAGAGAGAGAGAGAGAGAGAGAGAGAGAGAGAGAGAGAGAGAGAGGGGGGACCAAAGGGAAGGGAACCAAACTTGGCCAAGGAGGGAAGAGGGGGGCAGAGGGGAAAAGGGGAGGAGGGGGGGGGAGAGAGGGAAAGAAGATGGGGAGAAGAGAGAGGGGAAGAGAGAGGAGGAGAGGAAAAAGGAAAGGAGAAGAAAGGGGAAGAGAAAAGGGGGGTTTAGGCCCTTTGAAGGAGAAATGGGAAAAGGGGAAGAGGGGAAGGGGGAAAGGAAGAAAGAAAGGGGAAGGAGAAAGAGAAAGGGAAAACCAAGGAGAGGAGGGAGAGGAGAGAGAGCCGAGAGGGGAGGAGGAGAGAGGAGAAAAGAGAGAGAGGAGGGAGAGAGAGAGGAGAGGGAGGGGGAGGAGAGAGAGGGGAGGGGGACGAGAGGAGAGAAAAAAGGGTTTTGGGAGTTTGGGATAGGGGATAGAGGGAGGGGGGCCCCTGTTTTTTTTGTCCGTGCGATTTTGCCCGTTTTCAAAAAATGGGGGGTCCCAAAAAAAAAGGGGAAAAAAATTTTGTTTTTTGAAAAAAAATTTGTTCCCAAAAAATTTGTAATGGTTATTGCTGTAGGGGTTTAGCAGGTTTTTTTTGAAAAAGGGTCCTTTCTCTTATTTTAAAAACCTCGTTAGGTACAAGAATAGTTACTTATTTTTTTTTTCCCAAAAAAAGGGGAAAAAAATCACTATATTTAAAAAAATATCGTTCGGATTAAAGGGGAAAACAAAATTTAACCAACCCAATTTTTTTTAAATTATTGCCCTTTTGGACCTTTTTAAACTTTTTTAAGGGTTTCGGGTTTTTTAAAACGTTTTCGTTGTCAAAAAAAATTTAAAATGAAAATACGAGAATTTAGAAGGTTTTTTACACAGGGGGATAAGGGGGGGGACTGAGAGGGACGAGAAAAGGGGAAAGGAGGAAGGGGCCAAGGGGGCCCGGGAAAACTGAGGAGGAGGCGAGAGGGGAGGGAGGGGGAGGGAAAAGGGAAAGGTCGTTAAAAAGGGTTCGTTTTTTCGGGATGAGGAAAGGAGGACTGAGGAGGACGAGGGGGCTGAAAAAGGGGGGGGACGAGGGGGAAAAGGAAACGGGGGGGGCGGGGAAAAAAACTGGGGAAGGGGGGGGCCTGATGAGGGGGGACGAGGAAAAAGGTCTGGGAAGGTTTTCGTACAAAACGAGGATGAAAAAAGGGGAGGATGGTTGGGGAGGAGAGAAAGGGAAAGGAGAACTGGGGAGGAGGAAAGGGGGAAAAGAAGGGGGGAAACGGAGAATGGGGGAAAAAGAGGAGAAGGAGGGAAAGTAAGTGGGGGGGGGACGGGGGGGAAAGATGGGGGATGAAAAGGGGTTCCCGAAGGGGGGAAGGGGGGAAGGGGAAGGTGGGGGGAGAACTGGGGAGGAGGGGGGGGAGGAGGTTGAAGTTAAGGAGGGGGGGGGAAAGGAGTAGGGAGGGGGACTGAGGGAAAGGAAGAGGGGGGGGGAGAAGAGGGGGGGGCCAAAGGGGGGGGGAAATTTAGGGCCTAAAGGGACCCGGATAATGCATACGAGGACTAAAGGAGGAGGAGGGACGGGAAAAGGGAGGATAATTGAGGGGGAAGAGGAAAAGGGAGGAGGGGGAAAGGCCCTGAGGAGGAGGGGGGAAAGGAGGGGGAAAGGGAAGGGAAAAAGGGATCGTACATACGGGGGAATGAGTAGGAGGTGGGGAAAAGGGAGGAGGGTTTAAAAGAGGAGGGGGTGGATGGGGAGGAGGAAGGAAAAAGGGAAAGAAAAAAGGAGGATTTTTGGGAAAGACTGGGGGGAGGATGAGGGAGAGGAAGGAGGAGGAAGGACTGGAATGTATCGTACAACGGGACTGAGGAGGAGGAGTGGGAAAGGACTAAAGAGGGGGGGAAACTGGGGCTGAGAGGGGGAGAGGGAATGAGGGAGAGGAGGGATAGAGATTGGGATAAGGGGGAAAAGAGAGGCAGAGGGAGGGAGATGGAAAAAGGGGAGGGGAGTAGGGGAGAATAGATAGGGGAGAGGAGCGGGGGAGGGGGAGGGGAGGAGGGGGGCTGGGGGGGAAAAATGGAAAGGGGGGGAAGGGGAAAAAAGGGGGAAGGGGGGAAGTTTTGGGAGGGGGGAGGGGGGAAAGGGGGGAAAAAATAGGGGGGAAGGGGAGGGAGGGAGAAAGTGAGAGGAAAAAGGGAGAAAAAGAGGAGGAAGGAAGAGGGGAGGGGAGAGAGGGAGAGAGGAGAGAGAGGAAAAAGGAGAGAGGAGAGGAGAGTAAGGAAGGAGAGAGAATTTTTGGAAGAGATAACACTCTTTGAAATTTTTTCATCAAAAATCAACTTAATCACCAACCGGAAAGGTTCAGAACTTGTGGGTCTGACTCCCTTAATAGATTTGTGAAGAGGGGAAGGAGAAGCAGGACTTCTCGGGTCTGGAGAGGAGAAGCAGGACTTCTCGGGTCTGTGCTATGTCACTTGTCACTCGTCGTCAGTTATCGTTCAACATTACACATACCTCAAATTATTTGTTATATAGTCAACACCAGTGATCCCGGGAATTAGCTCTCTTTTGGTTTTTTCTTCCTTTCCACTTGGTCACTGAGCTGAAGTTACTCTCATCACTACATGTCAGTTCAATCAGTAAAACTAAAATATTCTTGGAGAATGGAACTAACTGACAAAATTAAAATATCCAACCTCTAGCTCTCAGCATTGTAGGTATGCTGAGGGAATTGGGCAGGGTATTTATCTTCGTCAAACAGTATCTTCCAATCTCTTGCATCACTAGAGATGTCTTTCTTCATCATCATCATCTCCTTACCAGGCTTCTAGTACTGGGTAGGTTTAGACCTGAACTTAAACCACAGCTCCCACAGTCCTTCTTGGGTGACGGGTGTGTTACTACTCTCTCTGTTGTCTGCTTGTTACTCTATCTCTGCCTGGAAGTTCCAAGACCTTTCCTATCTTTTGTGAAGTAGACGTCTCTTTCCCTAGCAGTGAGCTCCTTGGTACCGCTCAATCTTTTACTACTATCCTCTTTGCTTTTCCTGTGCTTGTCCTCTATACATTTAAAATAAACATACAACTCAACATAACATCCAAGAATATTTGCTCAGTTATGATAGTTACAGGTCAACCAACAACGTTGCGAGCAATTTTATTTTAAGAGCCATCGATACTCCACAGGGAGAGTTAGAAAGAATCCGAATGGAAACAATGTTTAAAATGCTCGGAGAAAACTCACAAATTTCTATGATTTAGATCACCTGCAATAAAATTGTGCCAATTGAATCGGAAAGGTCGAGGTGATTTCATGTTAGTCTTTAAAGCTCTATTGACAAAATGTGTAATACTCTAATCGTGAAATATCGTCAACTTACTACTAAAGCCCTTTGCATTGGATCAACTCCAACAAGATAACTTCAGGTCAGCCTACAAAATGTTCGAGTTTTCACAAAGTGGAATGAAAATGTCTCGTATAGCGCTCGATTTTTCCTAACGAAAATTTTTAACTTTCGGGAAAGACGACCAAACGCATTGCGCGGCTTTTTATTTTTAAAATAAATATTTTTATCTAATAAAATTGCTAATTATTAATATCCCGAATACAATTTGCAATTTTAAAATCTGATTTAAATAAATATTATAGGTTATAATTATATAATTTTAAATCACTTTGTAAAATAACAAAATTTAAACAATTATGAATTTAAAATTTATAAAAATTTTGAAATACGGTAAATTGTTGTTTTGTGTTTATTAATTTTCAAAAACCGTTTCATGCTTTTGACATTTAATTTATAATATACAAGAATCAGACATTTTTGGGGTTTTACAATTTTTTTTGTTAGTAAACATTTATTTTAAAAATAAAAAGCCGCGCAATGCGTTTGGTCGTCTTTCCCGAAAGTTAAAAATTTTCGTTAGGAAAAATCGAGCGCTATACGAGACATTTTCATCCCACTTTGTGAATACTCGAACATTTTGTAGGCTGACCTGAAGTTATCCTGTTGGAGTTGATCCAATGCAAAGGGCTTTAGTAGTGAGTTGACGATATTTCACGATTAGAGTATTACACATTTTGTCAATAGAGCTTTAAAAACTAACATGAAATCACCTCGACCTTTCTGATTCAATTGGCACAATTTTATTGCAGGTGATCTAAATCATAGAAATTTGTGAGTTTTCTCCGAGCATTTTAAACATTGTTTCCATTCGGATTCTTCCTAACTCTCCCTGTGGAGTATCGATGGCTCTTAAAATAAAATTGCTCGCAACTTAAGAATCTCAGCAGTACAACATCATTTGAAAATACTGCTTCTTTCCCTAATTTCTTCAAGATGAAGAATGTAGTCTTGAGCTCCCCAGTAACAGGACAATTAAAGAACTTTTGAGCCGCTAGAACCCGTGATGGTTTACCATCCACAAGCTCGCTCAACCTTTTGAGTGCTTTATCTAGATCATCATCAGTATTTTCTTCTACAACCAGTAATGCGATCTCCACTTCTCCTTCATTTCTGCAAACGTAAACCGGAAGAGAGTCAATTTTCTGTTTCTCTGATGCAAATAGTGCCGTTGCTCACTTAAACAGTCTTCCCCAATCTTGAATAGACTGACCCGGCATCAGCGCTGGAATAACGTTGACTGGTGCCATATCTCAACACTTCTGTAGGATAGATGTTACAAAATAATTTGAGGTTATTATGTGAGGTTCTTGTAAGTGTACTTATTCAATGAAACCAGGTAATGAATGAGGAACAACTTACAATGAACTGTATTACATAGAATAACCTAAAGGGGGATGTCGTTAGATAACAGCATATAAAATAGGCTGACACTAACTCTCCCTGTGGAGTATCGATGGCTCTTAAAATAAAATTGCTCGCAACGTTGTTGGTTGACCTGTAACTATCATAACTGAGCAAATATTTTTGGATGTTATGTTGAGTTGTATGTTTATTTTAAATGTATAGAGGACAAGCACAGGAAAAGCAAAGAGGATAGTAGTAAAAGATTGAGCGGTACCAAGGAGCTCACTGCTAGGGAAAGAGACGTCTACTTCACAAAAGATAGGAAAGGTCTTGGAACTTCCAGGCAGAGATAGAGTAACAAGCAGACAACAGAGAGAGTAGTAACACACCCGTCACCCAAGAAGGACTGTGGGAGCTGTGGTTTAAGTTCAGGTCTAAAGTTTAGACCTGAACTTAAACCACAGCTCCCACAGTCCTTCTTGGTTTAGACTCTAAACCTACCCAGTACTAGAAGCCTGGTAAGGAGATGATGATGATGAAGAAAGACATCTCTAGTGATGCAAGAGATTGGAAGATACTGTTTGACGAAGATAAATACCCTGCCCAATTCCCTCAGCATACCTACAATGCTGAGAGCTAGAGGTTGGATATTTTAATTTTGTCAGTTAGTTCCATTCTCCAAGAATATTTTAGTTTTACTGATTGAACTGACATGTAGTGATGAGAGTAACTTCAGCTCAGTGACCAAGTGGAAAGGAAGAAAAAACCAAAATAGAGCTAATTCCCGGGATCACTGGTGTTGACTGGATTGTGAAGATCTTTATGGTGGATATTGACTGCAGAGGCCTGTGGCACCACTAACGGGGCGCATTCCTTGCCCCGTTAGTAACCTGTCCTTCCAAAACCAAACAAGCAGTCAAGGACAAAAAGTCATACACCAAATGGGCATTATATTTTATGAATTGTTTTACATCTTTTATTCTGTAAAATGTGCTAAAATTAAATTTCTTGTTTCATTGAATTCTTTTCAACTACTTTGGTCTAAAGATCGGAGACGGTAGTACTGCAAGAGATTGCATTGAAATCTCTTCAATGTTTCTAATCAACGGTTCATCTAAATGTTGCATGCACAAAACATGGTTCAAGCTATAATCGCGGAATCACAAGTACTGGTAACTGAGATGCCTTCTAACAACCAGAAGCCCAGAAGAAACTGCTCTTTCAAGACATACAGTTTAAGGGCATAATTGTTTTAATTTTATCTGCTTTTACTGTAGTTGAACTACAACTTTCATACTCTAACAGACATGATGGACAGTTGAGCTGAAGATTGCATATATATTCGGCTTTGATTTATATCACCGTTGTTTTCAATGGCCTTCAAACTTCAGCTTTTTTGATGAAATAAGACCCTTCATGATTGGATTTCTCAGAAGTTTATTATCTTACTGTTGTTAAGTAAGTTTTTCACGGGGATATATTCATAAAAACACTGTCTAACATTTATTTCATCAAAGGTATGTGTATTCACAAACTACGATTCTGATAGAATTGAAAGCTACAAAAGTAAAGTGACAGATCTTTTTGCACGATAACTGTCATTATCCTTCACCATGCTGGGTTCCTGACCGAGCATTGGTAGACATATTCAATGGTTTCCAGATTTACTGAGACCAAGATAATAAATGCCACGCACACTATAGTTAGCTATAGCACACAGAACATTGCTAAATTCTAGTCCTGCCTCATCGATTTGAAATGAAAAATGAGCAGACAAAAGACGAAAAAGATTGACGCTCAGGACTGCCACATATAGAAACAACTGCAAAGATTAAATGCCTAAGGTATGTAATAAAGCATCCCTGGATAGTGCATTTAAAAATAAATACCCTTGTGTTGTGCACAAGCAGAGCCGGTGGTTTACTAAATACAATATCAAACGACGATTGATATGTGAAGTTTGTTGCTATGATGTTTGAATAGTGAGGTATCCTTCTTTAAAAAAAGTAATTTTGATGATCATTTTTATCGTAACCTGGTTCCCATTATACAATTTCTTTCATTTCAGGTTCAATTGGTTAGTGAACAATTACTGAAGCCTGTAAACAGAGATTTGTGCGTTAAACATATTACATCAGACTACACAGACTTTTATGAGCAAACTGAGAATCGCCAGGACACAGAAGCGAAGGGCCCCTTCTATTCGGTTTTTGGCAAAAAGCTTGAGTGTTGATTGTTGAACATTGGCCTAGATAAACTATGAACTTTTTGAAACACAGGGCGTTTGTTATTTTTCTGATGTGAGTTGGCAACATATGATCAATCGTTGGTCTGTTTTATAGTTACTTTAATGTGTACATTTTCAATTCTGTTAAGTCTTTTAAGTATAAGGTTGCTTTCTTTTGTTTTACCTTCATGTCATCTTTCGACTTGTCGGAGTCTTCCTATTCGCCCTCATCCTTCGCTCTCCTGGCCCTTTTCTATAAAGTTTATCTCTTTACCCGACTTGTCACTGACTTCCTATTTTCTATTTAAAGCTCTCACACGTACGGCCTCTATGTCTGAAATATATCTCTTTATCCAACTTCTCATCGTCTTCCTACTCTCTCTCTCTCTCTCTCTCTCTCTCTCTCTCTCTCTCTCTCTCTCTCTCTCTCTCTCTCTCTCTCTCTCTCTCTCTCTCTCTCTCTCTCTCTCTCTCTCTCTCTCTCTCTCTCTCTCTCTCTCTCTCTCTCTCTCTCTCTCTCTCTCTCCCTCTCTATTCCTTCCTCTCTTTCTCTCCCTCTCCATCTCACTATATCTCCCTCCTTCTCTCCTCCTATCCCTCCCTCTCGCTCTCTCCTCCTCTCTTTCCATCTCCCTGTCCCCCAGCCCCCTCTCTCCCCTCTCCCTCAGCTCTCTCTCCTCTATCTATCTCTCTCTACTCTCTCCCCTTTCTATCTCCCTCTCTCTGCCTCTCTATCCCTCTCTATCCCACTCTCTATCCCTCCTCTCCCTCTATATCCCTCTCTCTCTCAGTCCCCAGTCCTCCTCCTCTTCAGTCCTCCTACTCGTCCTCCTCAGTCCTCGTATGTACGATACATTCTCAGTCCTTCTCCTCAGTCCTCTCCCTCATCCTCCTCCCCAGTCTTCCTCAGTCCTCCTCCTTATTTTCATCCTTCTTCTCTTCCTCCTCCCCAGTCCTCCTCCTCCTCTTCAGTCCTCCTCCTCTTCCTCAGTCCTCCTACTCAGTCCTCGTATGTACGATACCTTCTCATCCTTCCTCCTCCTTCTCCTCCTCCTCCTCAGTCTTCCTCCTCCTCCTTAGTCCTCATTCTCCTCAATTATCCTCCTTCTCAGTCATCCTCCTCCTCAGTCCTCGTATGTCATTATCCTGCTCTTCAGCCCTCATACTCCTCCACCTCCTTTGTCCTCCTCCTCTTCAGTCCCCTCCTCTTCCTTTCCCTCAGTCCTCCTCCCTACTCTTCCTCAGTCCTCCTCCTTATCTTCATCCTCCTCCTCCTCCTGACTCCTCGCCAGTTCTCCTCCACATCCTCCTCTTCCTCCTCTTCCTCTTCAGTACTCCTTCTCATCCTCAGTCTTCCTCAGTCCTCCTACTTATCTTCATCCTTCTCCTCTTTCTTTCCCCCAGTTCTCCTGTTATTCCTCTTTCTTTTCCTCCTCCACAGTTCTCCTCCTCTTTCTCTTCCTCCCCAGTCATCCTCCTCTTTCTCAGTCCTCGTATGTACGATACCTTCTCAGACCTTTTCCTCGTCCTCCTCATCAGTCCTCCTCCTCCTTCTCAGTTTTCCTCGTCCTCCGTGTCTTTCTCCTCGTCCTCCTCTTTTTCAGTCCCTCTCAGTCCTCCTCAGTCCTCCTCTTCCTCAGTCCTCGTATGTACAATACCTTCTACGACCTTTTCCTCGTCCTCCTCATCAGTCCTCCTCCTCGTCCTCCTCCTCAGTTTTCCTCGTCCTCTGTGTCCTCCTCCTCCTCCTCTTACTCAGTCCCTCTCAGTCCTCCTCCTTAGTCCTCGTGTGTATAATACCTTCTCAGTTCTCGTATTACATTTAAATTTGTTTGACATCGTATACGTTTAAAAGACTCGACCTTATAAGTTTAAATAGGTCCTATAGTGCAGTAATTAGAAGATATTGCTTGGTTAAATTGTTGTTTTCTTGATATACCGAACGATATTTTTCATAAATATAGTGATTTTCATCCCTTTTATGTTATTAAAAAATATGTAGACTATTCTTTGTACCTAACTGAGGATTAAAAGTATGAGAAAGGACCATTGTCATTAACCGTGCTACCCATATCAGCAGATAGCCTGTTACAAATTATGGAGACAAATTATATCAAAATCAAAATTTTTGTCCGTTTTGGTACCCTATTTTCTGAAAACGGACAAAATCGCACGGACAAAAAAAACATGAGCCCCCCTCTCTCTATCCCCTATCTATCTCCCAGTACCTGTTCCTCTCTCCTCTCTGTCCCTCTCTCTCTCTCTCTCTCTCTCTCTCTCTCTCTCTCTCTCTCTCTCTCTCTCTCTCTCTCTCTCTCTCTCTCTCTCTCTCTCTCTCTCTCTCTCTCTCTCTCTCTCTCATCTAACCGTTGGATCTAACCGTTGGATCTAAACGTTGGATCTAACCGTTCTTTCTAAATGTTGGATCTAACCGTTGGATCTAACCGTACGATCTAACCGTTTTGGTACCCTATTGTCTGAAAACGGACAAAATCGCACGGACAAAAAAAACATGAGCCCCCCTCTCTCTATCCCCTTTCTATCTCCCTTACCTGTTCCTCTCTCTCTCTCTCTGTCCCTCTCTCTTTCTCTATCTATCTCCCTCTCTCACGAGCTCCCCCCTCTCTGTCCCTCTCTGTCCCTCTCTGTCCCTCTGTCAATTTCTTTCCATTCATGTCTCTCCCTATCCCCTCTCTCTCTCTCTCTCCCTCTCTCTATC